CCAGGGTTTCCAGAGTATAGGGGGGGCGATTGGTTGAGTAAAGGCTTAATATAGTAATCCCTCATAATCTCAAAAAAATCTGCATTCCAGCAGGGTGTGAAAGAGATGTATCAGTCTTATTAAGGCCACAAGGGCAAATTCTGTCATTGTAGGGCCTATTAAAAAATCCCCCCTGCAAAACCATTGTAGGTATAATGTTCAGTCTTGCAAACAAAAAAGCTCTGCAGTAACATGGGATGGTAAGATAGTACATATGGGGGGGGAGGATAAAGATTTTGGGAAAGAAAGACCAAAAAATAGGGGTGAGCATACTCTGCGGGCTCTCAGAATCAAACTACTATGGTCGATTGCCAAGACTTGCTGTCTGATCAGAGAAAATACTTTAGTTTTGCCCGTCTCAAAAATATCATCGATCGACATTCCAAGTTTAATCGGTTTCTCACCGAAGGTCTTCATCCAAGCTGATCTGTGGGTATCCCAATTTAAAGTGGCTAACAAACCATCTTCAGCATGCAGGGAAGTGGGTTCCCTAAATCTGGATTGGATGAGAGGCTTCCTGCCATCAAAGGCAGGAAGAGTTAAAAGATTGGTAACATCCATTAGTCGTTGTGTAAATGCCGCAGGTCAGATCCCCTGCATGGAGCAAGTGGGGGTCAAGATGTGCAATTGTTCCATAGAATCCAAGGTAGGGGTGTTGGAGGTAAATCTTCTGTGCTGCTAAGGTATCTTAGTGTTATGTTTTCCTGTTCTTTTCATTACATCTGTAACCTGGTAGGCATGATAGCATTTTCCCTGTCCTTGTGCTCTAGCTTAATCTGTAGCCATAAAGTCTTTTCCTGCTTAAGAGAGCAGACTGTGATTCAAAGTCCTCCTCATGCACCTTAGATCACTTGCTCATGCTCAAATATGCATGCACAGGAGTTTCCCCAAGTAACTGCAAAATTTTGTCCTTTATACTTACTCAGAGGCAGCCGTTACTAGAGTCCCCCAAGTCACCAGTCACGTGGGAGGCTGGATTTATAATTTGAGGTCGTGGCACGAAGAAGCGGGACATGTGCACACGAACACACATGTAAGCACACACACATAGACCCACTGTGCACACGAACACACATGTAAGCACACATAGACCCATGGCGTGTCTGTGACAAATGACACCACTCGTACACATGGCTGAGACACACACACACTTTTTCTGCAGCAGCCGGGAGGCTCTCCTCCCCTGCACAACTCCGGGCAGTGATACTGGTGGTGTGCATGCAGAGAGACAGCAGCAGTTAAGCGTTTGCTTAAGCCCAGGGTCTTCTCCCATCAGGTTTAAAGCAGGGATGAGGTGAGTCTAGTTGGAACGATCAAAGTGATACTTGAGTGACTGGGTTGGGGGATGCTAAAGTCACCTGCTCCTCACCTTCTCAGCACAGCCAGTCACCCAAGGCGGTTTTCTTCTCAGCTGATTCCCAGTCCTGCTGATTGTCGTTTCCTGGCATCTGGCTGTTTGCTGACAGCTGGAGTTATGCTTGCCCTGCTGGGCCCAGAGAAGGGTGAACTTTTAAGCCAGGGATAGGGCCAGAATCTGCTACACTTTGGAGCCACTTTTGGATAAGGATCTGCCTCTGCCAGTCACCAAATTTTTAGGTGAACTCACCCTTGGAGGAGAAGTGCCTGTGGCACCACAGGGTTTCCATCTGATCCTGGGACCCCAGGAAAGGTATGGAGGCTGTTGGGGGAACTTCCAGGTTGGGTTCTCGCACTGTAACTAGGTGTCATCCATTAGAAGGATATAGATGGTCCTCAAATCTGTATTTCTGACAGATTTTATACTAGGTATTCTCTGCCTTTTGGTAAGGTGTGTTATGGAATTGGATTACGCCTGTGCTGAAATTACTCAAAGAACTCAGAGAATAATGCTGCTAGTAATCCTAAATCAGGGTCACCCTAAGAAGGATTTCTACTTACCTATAATCAGAGCTGCTGTTCAAAAAAAATTGGTCCCTAGGTGGCAGAAATAGCTTATGGTTGCCCTTGCAAAATGGAGTAAGAGTTCTGTTCTGAAACCTCTCTGAGAATCCACATCCTGAGCGATTGCACATGAGCGCCATGAAGAGAGGCATCTGGCACATTGTGTCCAGCCCGCTGAGTTGCTGCAGGGCACAGGCTTTGCAAGATGCCCAGGTGAGAAGGCTGTGTGCAGCCCTGCATAATCTGGAACAGTCTCTCCCTGTTTTCTTGCTTTGTGAAATATTAGCACCCTTTTGGTAACCATTTCATGCTCTAACTGAGATTTTTTGTATAAAAGAAAAGATATATCTGAGATTTCTGAACACTGATTTCTGGTCAAAGTGGGGTTGAAAAGAAACTACAAATGCACAGGCTGCTGTCCAAGGGCCACAGGAACAAATATCAGCAAGAGGAGCACCATTACTATTTAGACACCTTCCTATTGCCCTCTCCTGGACTTTACACGTCCTCCTAATCTCTGTGCTGTATCTGTCCTCTTTCCTCATTTACTGCTCCTTCCGTTTCTAATTTGAAAGAAGTACTCAGAGAGCAGATTGCTTCTGAATTCTGCATAGTTTGGCCGAAAAGAACCACAGCTGCTTTTCAGCATCACTGAGTAGCCCTGGTGTGCACACAACGCGAATAGGGGGTCCTTTCTGAAGTGTTAACAATCTTGGCTTAAAGACAAATGAAGAGACAACTGGCACGATGATGATTTAAACGTAGCTTGGGCCATCAGCTTTAGCGTGTTGTGAGTGTGGGAGTGTTCCAAGAAAACAAGCTTTACTGGGAGCCGGCTTAATTGTCATTTACACTTGTGTCATGCTTTTTCTTTACATTGGGGTCTCAGTGGGCTCCCATCTGTGCACTGGCTACGTCAAGCCCCCACAAGCCTCATCATAGAACTGGGTGCTTCCATTCATTGCTGGTGTCCCTTGAACACTTTGAAAAAGCATGGCTGTCTTGCTGATGCAGACTTGGATGGAATTGTTCCCCAGAGTCTGTCCTTCTTTTCCATCCATTTATGTTGACTTTCAGTTCAAGGCAGCTTGTAGTACATAAAAAACAGTAACACAGAACAGTGTAAAACCACACAGAAGGGTAGCAGTAGCAGGAAAGAAATAGCATTAAAATGGCAACACTAGAAACTACTCTAGTAAAAACCTTGATGCCTTAAAATAATTGGAAAAAAATGTAACCACAAAAAGTTGGAAGTAAATAGGACAGGATTTTCTTCAGCGGCCAAAAGATTCCCAAGATGGCGCCAGGCAAGCATCCCATGGCAGGGAGTTCCATAAGTGGGGCCCATCCACTGAAAAGGCTCTCTCTCTAGTACCCACCTTGCTTCCAATGATGAGGACACCTGGAGAAGAGCCTTCACTGGCAGTGTCAACAGGGCAGGTGGCCTTAAGTAGAAGAAGGCAATCATTTAAACACTCTCGTTCCAGTAAAGTCCCATTTGGGATTTTAAAGGTCAACACCAGCACTTCGAACTGTGCCTGGAAACAGACTGGAAGCTAGTGGAGGTCTTTGAGCACGAGAGAGAGGGAGGGAGGGATAGAGATATATATGCTTGCTGCAGTGAGTCACTATGGCTGCTGTGTTCTGGACCCGCTGGAGTTTTTGAAGACTTTTCAAAGGTAGCCCCATATATTATACATTCCAGTAGTCTAGCCTGGATGTTACCAATGCATGAATACCCAGGAGGGGGTGGAGCTGACATACCAAAGTTGGTAAAAGGTGTTCTGACCTACAGATGCCACTTGTGTGTGCTGTAAACAATGTGAGATCTAGCAACATCTCCTTACAAATGCCCCATTCAAGGGGGGAAATGCAGTGAATCCTGGGAACTGTAGTTTGGTGAGGTTGCTGAGAATTTTTAGTTAGTCACACCCTATCCCTCATGGTGTGGTTCCCAGGGTTTAAATTATTTTGTTTTATGGCTTATGGCTCCCCCCTTATGGTTCCCTTCTATATTTCTTCAATGTCTTTTTTAATCTTTCTGGCAGCATATCTTAAATTAAGGTGTGATGATGAATTTTGCTTTCTTTTGACATGTTTGAAACATAGGGAAGGAAGATTTTGCAGGATGGTGCTGGTGATAACGATATTCAGAAATTTGATGGTGGAGGATATGACAAAGATCTGGTTGAAGCTCTTGAAAGAGACATTGTTTCAAGAAATCTAAGTATTCATTGGTAAGTTGCATATTTTGTAAAATAAATGATACTGGAGTTCATATCTGCTTGAGAGCCAAGCTTGCTTGATCTAGGGAGGGAAGCCTTCCTATCCCTCCTTCCTAACCAATGTTTTAATTGCTGTTTTAATTTCTTTCTATGTATTTTAATCTGTTTTTTAATTTGTTGTAATAATGTGTGTTGCGGGAGGGTTGATTCTAATGGTTTTAAAATGTGATTTTATCATGCATGTTTTAAATTGTTAGCTGCCTTGGTGGCCGCTTTGAGGGCAGAAAGGTGGAATATACATTTTGTAAGTAAATAATCTTTAGGGCCTGGGATGCCTCTGTGTACCAGCAGGTTCATCCCTATTCGTCTAGATTTAATTCTGTGCGCTCTTTAGGTAGGCAAGCAAGATCTTAATTCTTAAACAGTACCGTGAGCAAAAGGTTCATTAGACACATATTAAAATGTGCAACAACACTCAGGAGCATCTTAAAGTGTTGCTTTGATAATCATGTTTTCAGGAAAGCTATTTTTTAATTGAACAGCCTGTGGTAGGGTTAGCTGAAAGTCATCACCCCTCCCCTTGTACCTTTTACATTTCAAGGCCAGTGTGGCCTATACAAGTAGCTGTCTCAGTTTATGAGAAAAGAGGAAATAAATGTTGTACCTTTGTATAAGAAAGCAAAAGGGTTTTGTTGTGTGTTTTTTTACATATGTTTTCTAAATCAGTGTTCATCTTCTACAGGGATGACATAGCAGATTTGGAAGAAGCCAAGAAATTATTAAGGGAAGCAGTTGTTCTTCCCATGTGGATGCCGGATTTTTTCAAAGGGATCAGGCGACCTTGGAAGGTGAGAATAGATGGCTTTTTGTGTGTGTGCGTGCCTACATTTATAACTACAATATGTACCTGTGCCCCACCTATAACTAGCTAGATTATTTAATATTTGCCGCCATTCTCTTTCAGGATAGTGTTCTGTACCTAGGAAGGGGGAGGGAAGGCAACATGGTATAGCTTGATCGCATCAGATCTTGGGAGCTAAGCAGGGTTGGTATGTGGAAGGGAGACCACCAAGGAAGACTCTGCAGAGCAAGGCAGTGGCAAACCACCTCTTCTTCCCACGTGCCTTGAAATACCCTTGCTGGGGTTGCCGTAGGTAGGCTGTGACTTGATGGCACTTTACACACACACAGAGGATTGCTTGCTGCCACTGACTCATATAAACAGTTGGATTGTGGTCATCTCTAGGTGCTATGCCACTGCCCGTTGGCCTGGTTAACTTGTGGAGTTGCAGGCTGAGTTTGGCTATCTAAATGGTGGTTTTCAGGCACCGTCTTCCATGGTATTGCTCTGGTTCACCATGGACCTGAAGCAGATGAAGCCAGAAAAGTTCAAGGGCTTTCAGCTAATGTTGAAGCCAACAGATTGCAGCAAGGACATCCATTAAAATTCTGTGGGCCTGCTGCTATTTTATGTGTGGCGTATCAGAGTCATGGAAGTACATCTTTTCACATCACTCTGGCAGTGTAGAAACCTCAGATCATGTTGGAGGTCTGCTAGTGTGATTATTTCCATGTCCATGTCTGTTTTCATGCCAGCCTTGCTCCAGCTGCTGAGGTAAAATTGGAATGGCCTTATACCATGACAGTGGAAGCGGCACAGAAATCTATAATTTACAGCCATTATTTGAGCAAAGTCTTACCCAGTGGTCCAGGCAGTGAATGGCCTAGTCAGTCCTTTATGTTGCCACTCAAAAGAAGAGTTCTATACCAGGTTGTTCTTTGTGAATTTGCAGTTCTATTTACCAACAACACTGTTTACATTTGTTTCTTTCATGGGACTTCCAGTTTTGGACTCAGAGACTTAGGTCCAGCAAACCATCAGCAGAAGGCACCCGTGGATGTGGATTTTCTCTGTACTCTACTGCCTTCAGCATTCTCTTGGGACTCTCTAAAAGATGTTTCTTGGAGTCACTGGAGCCATGTGGACAAAATGCCACATGAGCTGGGGGGAGGCTACAGTGAGGAGGAGGAAGTAAATAATATCCATGTTCTCCCACTTCTGTTGGCAGACCAGTACTCGTGGGAAAAGAAGGGGGATTTTTGTCCCTTCTCCCCTCTGTACTGCATTCCCTTCCCACATACCACTCCACTAACCCACATGGTTCCTCAGCTCCATGGGCCAAAAGGGGCTTCTGCGGCAGAGAGAAATGTGGGGAAAATACAGGTGCCTTCTGCTTACAGTTGGCTGGATCCAAGCCAGAAGTTAGGATGTTTAGGGCTTGGTCCTGTTTGTTTCACTCTGGTTCCCACTGTTTGCTGCTGGAATGAAAAAGATACTTGGGAATATGAAAATGGCTGCTTGTAAATTGGACTTGGGCCTTCCTGCTGGGCAGAAGTCAGTCTGGAGACACTGGACCCTTTGCCACTTAGCAACCAAGCCTGGGTGTAGAGTCAAAGCACCCCCAAGAGAGCATCAGTTTTTGGGGCCTCTGCCAGTCTGATTTTTAGCTATGTGTGGAATACCGGCTGTGGCTATGCCTTTGATTGATCTAAACCTAGGGATAAATGCGAAAATTACTCTTTGTTGAACCTGGTACTTTTGCTATCTTATTGTGTTGAGCATAAGATAGAATCATAGAATAAAATAATAGAATCATAGAGTTGGAAGGGACCTCCAGGGGCATCTAGTCCAATCCTCTGCATGATGCAGGGAATTCACAACTACCTCCCCCCACACCTCCAGTGAACCCCGTTCCACGCCCAGAAGATGGCAAAAAACCCCTCCAGGATCCCTGGCCAAATTGGCCTGGAGAAAATTGCTTCCTGACCCCAAAGTGGCAATGGGCATTTCCCTGGGCATGTAAGAAAGGGCCACGAGAACTAAGCACTGATGCAACCCTTCCTGCCCTCCCTCTTATGATCTGCCTAAGTTCACAGAATCAGCATTGCTGTCAGATGGCCATTGAGCCTCTGTGTAAAAAACCTCCAAAGAAGGAGAGCCCATCACCTCCTGAGGAAGCCTGTTCCACTGAGTAACTGATCTGTCAGGAAGTTCTTCGTAATGTTCAGCCTAAAACTCTTTTGATTTAATTTCAACCCATTGGTTCTGGTCTGACTTTCTGGGACAACAGAAAACAACTCCACACCATCCTCTATATGACAGCCCTTCAAGTATTTGATTATGGTTATCACATCACTTCTCAGTCGTCTCCTCTCCAGGCTAAACATACCCAGCTCCTTCAGCCTTTCCTCACAGGACTTGGTCTCCAGACCTCTCACCACCTTCATTGCCCTCCTCTAGACACATTCCAGCTTGTCTATATCCTTCTTCAGTTGTGGTGCCTGGAGTGGAACACAGTACTCTAGGTGAGGTCTAACCAGAGCAGAGCAAAGTGATACTATCACTTTGTGTGATCTGGGACACTATACTTCTGTTGATACAGCCCAAGACTGCAGTTGCCTTTTTGGTGATGTGATAGTAGGAGCTGATGGGTAGCATTGCCAGCTCTGGGTTGGGAAATACTTGGAGATTTTGGGGGTGGGGCCTGAGGAGGGTGGGGATGCCAGCCTCCAGGTGGGACCTGGGGATCTCCCGGAATTACTGCTCATCTCTAGACTGCAGAGCTCAGTTCCCCTGGAGAAAATGGATGCTTTGGAGGGTGGACTTTATAGCATTGTACCCCGCCAAGGTCCCTGTCCTCCCCAGGCTCTAATCCCAAATCTCCAGGAGTTTTCCAATCTGGATCTGGCAACCCTAGAGGGCAGGGTTTGGGGAGGGGAGGGACTTCGATGGGATGCAGTGCCATAGAGCCCACCTTCCAAAGTGGCCATTTGCTCCAGGTGAACTGATCTCTGTCTCCTGGAGATCAGTTGTCATGGCGGAAGATCTCCAGCTGCTACCTGGAGGCTGGCAACCCTTCAGGGAGCTGTCAAGCAAAATGCATTCTTATAAGCCCCAAAGTGGAGAAGACGAGAATAAGCATGAGTATTTTCTGGTCTTGATTTCTGATTGTGCTGTAGAGGTGACGGGGTTATATTTCCTTGTTATTGGAACTACAGAAATAGAACAGGTTTTGATCCCAGCCATTGAGGGGTAACAGTACAAATAGAAACCAGCCAGTTCCATTCTTGTATGTTCAAGCTCCCCTAAAAGGAATTCTCAAGACAGCTGCTTTTATTTCCAAAGCAGACACTGTATGAAAAAGAAACTCTTTGCCAGGTAAGCACAGGATTGTGTAGATACATTTGGGCCTCTCGTTTTCAGGAGATCAGAGAGTTGCCTGTTTGGCTCCTTTTGAAGTGTTCTTTGAGCCAAGAAGGGCCAGGCTCTGGTTGTGCTTCCCACTGTTCAACTAGCAATTCTTAACAGCAGCAAGCAATAATCCTGCTGTGATTCCATCAAAACAGCTGCCCCCTGCAGTGCAGTTGAACCTGTGAATGGAAGACTGTAGATTTGACAGAGCCAAGGAGAAAAGACAGCTTTTGTGTGAAGCACATTAACCTGCCGGGTCCGTGTTGGGACTGATAGTTCTTGTGGTGAGATGTTGCACAAACTCACTTTCTGAAGCTGCTTGGCTCTGAAAAATTAGGGCCGTTCCAGTGATATGGAAAGGAGTGGGATACTATGCATCCGGGTTTATGCACAGTTTTTACTTTAAATTTAAATTGTTTTAGCCACCATGTAAACTCTTACAGTGTCTTACTGTGGGCAGATTCCAGAAGGGTAATCATGTCAGTCTGTTTCAGCAAACTCTCCAGCAATGTGCTTTGTGGCCTGAACATTGGTGGGGTTTTTTTTGTGGCATAAAGTCTTGCAGGCCAGGGCACGCTATCTGATTAATTTCATCGCTACAGCTGTAATCTTCTTGCAGAAGACAATTCTATTTATCTTCTGTGGGTTTTACCTTCAATTTTAGGAGAGCTTTAGGAACATTAAAAGTGCCATTTAAATACCAGTTGTGGAGAAAGGATATGAACAAATGTGATTTAATACCCATACATGTACATGGTGGCCTGTGTTTGAAAAGTCCTTAAATAGCTACTGAGTTAGTAAGAGTTAATGGAAAATGTAGACACAGTGAGTCCATTATGCCCAAAGAATTGAGGGAGAGCACAAGTCTTGAATAATTGAATTTTCGGTTGATTTGGTTTTATAAGTCTTTCCTATGTCATTCTTTCAAAGTAGACCCACCCCCCCCCCCCCCCCCCAGGAACAGGCAAAATTTAATTTGCAGTGTAGATAGCTTTTAACTGGTTATTTTATTGCAGTGGCACTTTATGTAAGATATTAATTGCATAAAGTCCATTGTGATGTGCAATTCTAATTTCAGCTAATTTGATTACCCTGAAAATACAGTGTGTCTTCAGGAAGCTCTTGTTAGCATGTAATCTGATCTTATGTTTGCAGTGGAATGAAAGAAATGCAGTAACAGCAGAATCCTTGATGAGGGAGTGAGATGGCAAATGTGCTCTGGAAGAGAGATTTTAAATTTAGTTCTGTGCTTTGCGAAGGGAATACGATTCTCACAGTCTCAAAGGCTGCAGTCTTTCTCAGAGCTGACCAGGTGATATTCATGAGCTATATGTGGTTCTTGAATGGGCTGTTATCAGCAATTCAGCAATCTGAGAATAAGGAGAATTATAAAACACTTGGGGACTAAGTTGCCCTCCAGACTCCTTATACTTCCACCTTCCCAGTATCCCAAGTAGATGCTGGGAAAGAGAGAGGGAGTGTGCCTGTGGCAGATGGCTGGAAACATTAGCTCTTCATCTGTAGATAGTCAGAGTAGGGGCACTCTAGAGGTTTTATGAAGCAGAATTATTGTTCCAGGCTTAGTGGGGGCTTGGGAGAGGAGAAGAAGTGAAGGTGGTACAATGGATGGCAGATGAGGCCATTTGCTTCTGTGCTCTGGGAAATACAAAGATTTGTTTTTACAGCCTTTATATTCTGACCAAGTAGTAAGTAGGTAGCATGAAAGACCTCTTCTTGAGACACATGGGAGAACCACTGCCAGGAAGTGTAAACAGTAATGGCTTTGGTGGACCAGTTATTTATTTCATAGAACCATAGAGTTGGAAGGGACCTCCAGGGTCACCTAGTCAGCCCCCTGCACAATGCAGAAAATTAACAAATACCTCCCCCCCACATCCCCAGTGACCACTGTTCCATGCCCAGAAGATGACAAAAAAACCTCCAGGATCCCTAGCCAAACTGGCCTGGAGAAAAATTGCTTCCTGACCCCAAAGTGGTGAGCAGCATTTCCCTGGCTGTGTAAGAAAGGACCACAAAAATAAGCACTGATGCAACCCTTCCTGTCCTCCCTCTCATGATCTGCCTAAGTTCACAGAATCATCGTTGCTGTCAGATGGCCATCTAGCCTCTATTTGAAAACCTCCAAAGAAGGAGAGCCCATCACCTCCCGAGGAAGCCTGTTCCACTGAGGAACCGCTCAGCCGGAAACTCTTCTGATTTAATTTATTAATTTATTTAATTTATTAAATTTATTAAAGCATTTCTTAGCTGCATTTCTTCCTAGTAGAACTCAGGGCAGCTTACCATATAAATAAAACATTATAAAAACACAATAAAAACAAGTATACAACCCATAAAAGTTATAGTTTAAAAACTCTAGCTAAACCTTTACCTTTATTATTTACCTTTGAGCTGTTTAAATCCACAACTTAGGCTGTGCTTATACTTGATTGATTGATTCAGTTTGACTAGATTGCTCTTATGAGAGCTGCTTTTGGTTATTCAGTCATCTGCATTTAATTTTAGGGAGTGCTGATGGTTGGTCCTCCAGGGACTGGGAAAACCATGCTAGCCAAGGCTGTTGCCACAGAATGCGGGACAACCTTCTTCAACGTATCTTCCTCTACTCTGACTTCTAAGTACCGAGGTGAATCGGAAAAGCTAGTCCGCTTGTTATTTGAAATGGTAAGTCTCACTTATGCGCCGCTATTGCAGGCTCGTAAGCAGACATCAAAACTCCTGCAGCTCATTGTGTCTCAGAAGCAAATTGGGTTGAACAGTCTCTAGGGCTAGTGTAAAGCTCTGGAATGATTGGCCTGTATCTAACCAAACTGTTTGGAAAACTTAAGGGTAATTGAGTTTTCAGAAGAGGGAGCAGTGATTTCCGCTTATTTCTGCATTGCCACACAGTGTGCCTTTCCCAGTGGAATTTTGTTCCTGGGGTCAGTGGGCCCTTTGGAACAGCCATAGCAGGCAAAAGTGGGGGTGTGCACTGGGGGGGGGGAATTGGAAATTGGCAGAAATTATGCATGTGGTACCATCTCTATTTCCCCTTCAGTTTCTCACACGAGTATGTACTCTACTGGCACATATCACTTTAGTACACATGCCCCAGTCTGAGTTTTAACATTGTATTTATATTAATTTATGTGATTTTATGCTATCGTATTGTCAGAATTTTATTCTGTCTGTAAGCTGCCTAGGCCAGGAGGGCGGGATAAAAATCTAACAAATAAAATAAATAAAAATAATGAAACAATTGGGCAATTCTGCAGTACTGCAGCCAATACTCTTCTCTGAAGAAAAGAACAACTCAAGCCCTATATCTTGTGTACTGGTGTTTGTTAGTTTTTTAAAAACAACAACAACTGTAGAGTAATTGAAAATTACTAAGTAATACATAACATCTCAGCAACTCAACCAATGACTAAGCAGGGCTCATCCACTCAAACCAGGGTGCTCACAGTTATGGTGATCTCAAAATCTGTTGCCTGTCTTTCTCTTGGGTTTTGTTTCCTTTGGCTTACCTGATTTGAGGGGTAAATTGACAAAACACTGGGGTTTTTGCATGTTTTGTGCTTTAATTTGATGTGTCATTTAAAACTCAGTGGCCATAGTAAGTTCCCCAAAAGATTGTCACGTTGGTTTAGAAAACAGATATGTAGATAGCACTGATGAAGAGATTGGATTTATACCCCGCTCTTCACTACCTGAGGAGTCTTAGAGAGGCTTATAATCCCCAGAACAGACACCCTGTGAGGTAGGTGGGGCTGAGAGAGATCTTCCGAGAACTGCTCTTGAGATAACAGTTCTGAAAGAACTTGTGACTGACCCAAGGTCATGCCAGCAGCTGCATGTGGTGGAGTGGGGAATCAAACCTGGTTCTCCCAGATTAGAGTCTGCACTACTAACCACTACACCAGACTGGCTTTCAAACTGATAAGAGGTTGTCCCAAAGCAGCACATCATATTCGGCTGACATGGCTGTTACTCTTAAGGATCTTGCATGTGGTTTTAGCTCATGAATTCTTCTTGTATGTAAGTAACTGTTGTCCTTGTTCAAGGCCAGATTTTATGCACCCACCACCATTTTCATTGATGAAATAGACTCTATCTGCAGCCGTAGAGGCACCTCTGATGAACATGAAGCAAGCCGCAGAGTCAAGTCCGAGCTGCTTGTTCAGATGGATGGTAAGTAGTGTTGTTTGAGCTTCTCTTTATGTTTTTGAAATTGATGGTGGACTTGTTTCCAAAAACAAGCAGAGTCAGGAAGTAACATCTTTTCCATTTTAATTTCCCCAACTTTTTCTTAAGTTTAAAGAACATATTTGAAATTAAACAAAAGTTAAAATCAGAGCATTTTCGTATTTAGTTCGCCACTTACAAGACAATTCCCCCCCCCCTTAATAGCATTTGTTTTAATGTTATTGACATTACAGCTAACAGGAAACATTGAGCTTTGACATTAAACTTGTTGGATGTTGTTTGTAGTGCTCATATTAGCCTCCGATAATACAGTAGCCAATCCTTACACAGTAGAGAGGTAGCTTAATTGCAGCTGTTCATTCCTGGGGAAGGATATTCCCCTCCCCCACACATTCCTTTTCTCCAGTCTAAACTATCCTCCTTCCCCAGGCTGCCCTTAATTCCAGGAGGGTAAAAGGCCAGATTAACCCATATTGTGTCTTTTCCCTCTCTATTGAGGCTAAAGTATTAGAGAAACAGTGTGGGGGTAGGGTTACCCAAACTTCCTCATCGCAACAGCCACAGTACCCCCCCACACACAGCTGTTTTTTAAGGATTAAATTACAAACTGGGAGCATTTTCTATCTCAAGCATCATGTTTAGTTTGAACCTTAAATCCTCCACGATAACCACAAAAGGTAAACGTCTGGAGACATGGCTGTGGGAACGTCTCGTCTCTTCTGTGTAAAACAGGTACTCTGTTTGTTTCTGTCTTTCCCCTTGCAAAATATCTAGTTGTTTTGCAAGCATGCAGCTTGGTGGTGCCCTGACCTGGATAATCCAGGCTAGTCAGATCCCACCAGAAGCTGAGCAGAGTTGATCCTAGCTAGAATTTGGATAGAGACCGGGTCCTGATGTGGAGGCAGGCAATGGCAAACCACCTCTGAGCGTCTCTTGCCTTGAAAACCCTACAGGGTCGCCATAAGTCAGCTGTGACTTAATGGCAAACAAACAAACAAACCAAGCTTGGTGGTGGCCCTTGTCTTTTGTCTTTGCTGCTCCCTATTCCCCCCCTCCCCCCACAGAGCTCTGTCACTCTTAACAAATGAGGATTCTGCTTCTTCATGCAAGAGGGCTAGACAACATGATTAAATACCCTTTTAATAATTTGCAAAATGCATACTTGAAAGTGAACGAAACAGAAATGCCTTGTTACAGTTGCAGCCTTTGTTCATGTAGGAGTAGGCGGAGCTCTTGAGAATGACGATCCTTCCAAAATGGTGATGGTGTTGGCTGCCACCAATTTTCCCTGGGACATTGACGAAGCTCTGAGAAGGAGGCTGGAGAAAAGGATTTATATACCATTGCCAACAGGTGGGACTGCTGCAACCGCTTTCCTCTGAAATGTGTTTTTTCTTACACTTGTTGTTTAAAGCTTCCCTAGGGGACTGTTAAAGAATCCATTGACATTTTTGTTACAAATATTGTATTTTCAGGGGTTAATAACTTGTCTCTTCTTTTTAAAAAAATGCATAAGGTTGCAGGACAAACTAGCTGCAGTATTTCACAGCAGGCCCGATGAAGAGGAACTTAGGTTTGGAACCTCAGCTTGTTTTGATGAGCTTGGAATTATTTCGAATGTTTAACAGCAATCCTTGAGTGGATATCAGAGGCAACCTTTGGATGTCTTAAAGAAATATTGTCGATCTACTTCCGTGCACTTGCTGACCAAAGCCGAAAAGTGAATCCGTGGATTTTCGCTTCCAGGCTTGCCACGTTGTAAATCAGCTCTTGGCTGGCCTTTGTGGCTAGATTCCCAGCCGTCCGGATCATAGCCCACTGATTATTCCCCTGCCTTATGTTATCTCGGTATACATTGGCTTTCCTGGCTACTGGTTGTATGCGCTCTTAAGGATTCATTACTATTTTAGGGTTGTATAGCAGCATCCCTCTTAAAATGGGTGTAGGGCTTATTTTCCTGCGCAAGCTTTCGGGATAACAAAATCCATGTGCAAAGTAACAGCAACTGGTTGAACCTGCTGGAGGGAAAGGCCTTTTATAGTTGTATAGCTTGGCTTTGGCAGTTTGTAAATTAAGGGGTCAGAATGAAGTATTTTGTGCAACATAGGGCTGCTGTCAGGAATGGCATCCCCGAGTCAATTCCACCCCTTGATGATTAGTATTACTTCTTGTCATGATGACATTACAGTCTGAGTTTCTCTAACCCTGAACCACATCATTGGTTGTGACTGGTGAGTGGTCAGGCCGGGGAAACTTGTGTGTATGTCCAGGGGGTGTATTCATCACAGGCATCCCATTTTCAGGGGTAGCCCTGTTTCATATGTAATGTATAGTTTTAGCCTCTTGTGTGGAAAATCTTGTGTTTATGGCTGATAACAGAACATTTTCTCAGGTGAGGTTTAAGTTGCCTTTACACCTCTGTCATGCTGTTTATCTGGATGTTTGCTTACTTAACACAAAAGAAAAGGTGGAAGACAGCAGATGTGGTGCAAATGAGCATTCTGACTAATGTAGACTGAACATTTGTGGTGCAGATCAAAGTGGGAACTGCTTTAATTCTCACTTGAAAACACTCTTTATTTGAAGTTGTGTCACTTGCTGCTGATTTCCACCGTTCAAGATAGAACCTTAAACATTGTATAAACATTCTACATTTGCAAGCTGCTTTAATCAGATCTTCACTATTGTAGCAAAAGGCAGAGCAGAGTTACTGAAGATTAATCTTCGGGAAGTAGATCTGGATCCTGACATAAACCTGGAAGAAATTGCTGAGAAGATTGAAGGCTATTCTGGTGCTGACATTACTAATGTTTGCAGGTATCTTATCTGCTATATATCCTAGCTAAAAATAAATAAATAGCTTAACTACGAAACTAAATTAAAAGTCTGATATATCTAGCTTGATTTGCTGATGAGTTATGCCTGCCACAGGTGGATTTTTTTATTATAGGTTTACAAGCGGGGACCCACAAAGACTTGTGCATCTTATTTTCCCCTCCCTCACTATTTCCTGTTTTACCTTCTCTAGAAGTCCCTATAACCTCTCCCCTTTTCCTTCCTTCTCTCCTTCCCACACAACAGCCAACCAACCTTTTCTGTCCCCCTTCCTCAGCTTTCCCTCCTTTCCTCCCCTGGCAGCCTCTCCCTGGGAAAACACTGTGTGGTGCTGGCTTGAAGGCTGGCAGTACCTGTTGTGGTTGCCTGGCAACCTCCACAATGTCCACTGAGACAGGATTTGTTTCTTAAAACTGCAGGTGCTGTTTCTGTTAGGGGGGGGGTTAGACACTGTTTTTATTGTTTTAGATTACAGATTTTTCTGCAAACCTGGGGCTTCTTTCAGGTTTGTAGAAAGATCTGTCTTGTTGTTCATGGCTGCAGGCTCTGGATTTAAAGATCCACAGGTTTGGCCATTTAGTATATTTATATACCACCTTTACGCTAAAAATAGATGGCTCCCTTTCTGCATGTCCTTGGCATGTTCAGCTAAAGGATTTCATGTAGCAAGTGTTGGAAATGTTTATTCTGCCTCAGAGACCTTGTAGAGCTGCTGCCGTGCAGAGTGGACTATCCTGAGCCAGATGAACCAGTGGTCTGACTTAGTGTTAAATGACTTCACATGACTCCAGAAAGTGTAGGTCATATGCTTGTTCACACTGGTTTGGTGCCTCACCTCCGAACTCCTACATGGCCATACACTGCAGGGTAAGATTGGTAGCGGTAGAAAATCTGTCTGTTAGTGAAGCAAACCTGTCATTACTCATCTTTTTATTGAGAGACACCTGACAAGTTTCTGAGGCAACTCAGGCCTCTCTGGAGCACAGTGAGAAATCTACTACCTTGGACAGCTGCAGGTTGAAAATGCAGCTAAATCTTAATGACCTTCAGTCCTCTGTAACATTCTGTATAATGATTTATTAAACAAATAAATAACAAAATGAATAATGTATGTATGCCTGCAGTGTAGCTTATTGTAACCCACTTAGAGCTTTTGAAATTGGGACGGCTAAAAATCCCAAATTAATAAATAATGGAGCTGTTGTAATACTATAATATAATTGAGAAGATATTAATAAATTAGTTTGCTTCTCAGTTTCTCAGGTTCAGTTCAGATGTCACAAGCAAACCAGAGTTTGTGATGAGTGTAAGCTGATTAGGTGTTGGTCTTGCATGTGCCCTTCTTGCTTCAGTGCATGGCCATGCGGAGATTGAAGACAGAAGTAACTACTGTATTTTCAGGTGTATAAGACTACTTTTTAACCCAGGGAAATCTTCTCAGAAATGGGGGGGTCGTCTTATACGCCGGTAAATACAGTCTCTGGGCAAGTATATCCCAAACTCTATATTTTAACTGGAAAAGTTGGGGGTCGTCTTATACGCCCAGTCGTCTTATACACCGGAAAATACGGTAACTACAATTAGTTGTGATGTTCAGATGCGGGCACCTTAATAATCGGCAGGTAGTTTCTGTCCCGGTAACTTGGGGTTTCTTCTGTCTTCACTATCAGCAATGCCACACTAAGGGAGGGAGGACATGTGTGAGCCCAGCAGTCAGTGCCCGTCACAGCTGAACTTGGACTGGCTTGTTTGACATATTTTTTATTTATTTATTTTTGACATTTCTACCTCACCCTCCCCGCAAGCAGGCTCAGGGCAGCACATATGAATTGTGATCAAGTGAAAACCAGGACTATTTTTTCCTTAGTGTGGTAAAAGTCATCCTGTAAACTTTTTAATTTAAAACATATATGTTACTGTCCCAGCCCATAAAGATCCTCAGTGTGGCTTAGACACTGCTAACGAGAGAGGGGGGGGGGATAGAACACACATCCCAGAACTCATCAGAAGCAGAACTGTCAACCAGAAGGCTTAAACCCAAAGCAACAAAACCATCTGCCCCCTCAAAATCCACACAGAAGAAAATAATCCTGGCTTGCGTCAGAAAACTTGAGAGAAAGACTTGGTTAAAGTCTCCCCAGAGAAGAAATTTCAGCCTCTGAGTACTACTAGTGATAAGCCCCTGTCTCTCATAAATACAAGGAGCAGGTCCTTCAAGAATGACCCGAGCAACCCAGCATGTTACTTTGCTGAGGTGCCTTTGAGGAGCTGGTTAGGAGGGTGTTAGGCAGCAGATTGAAGCCATTGTCCAAGATAGGGAAATAGCTCCCAAAGCATATGAAGTGTCTCCAGTATCAGCTTACAGGCAGGTTTCATGTTGAAGGTTCTTTGCTCTGATTCCTTTTCTGTATCTTGTAACATCTTTGACACAATTTATAACACACCCACAGCAGCTCTCAGGCTTACATAGGCAGAAAAGGATGCAGTAGCTAGGGAAAGCACGTTTCTTCTCCTCCTTAACTCCATGTCCATTCCTGAGTATTGCATTGGATTTTTAAAGGCCGCTTGGGACCTCCTTCCTCAACCTAGAGGAGGATAGATCCAGAGGGTATGAAGGAACTATAGTGACTGAGCAGCATTCTTTTTCATGAGCTGAACGATTAGCTCCGCATCTCCATAAATCATTGTAAAAGGATTGTGTCGGGGTGGGAGTAGAATTGGTTTTATGGGTTTAATTATCTCTGCACATTGACTAGATGCCTTAGTGAGTTTCAGCTGCCTAGTGTCCTTTACATTATATTAATGCTGGGGATATTGGAGATGTAGAAGCCCGAGTTTCCAAGGGGGACAGGAAGGCAACTAAGAGGAAATGTTTTATATTCTCCTGCTAGGGGGCTGCAACATGCAGTGTAATCAAAATCTTAATGGTTCCCAGCCTACGCTATTGGTAATTAGTTCCTGTGCATTTTCCTTTGTTTCTAGGGATGCCGCTTTGATGGCAATGAGGCGGCGTATTCATGGTTTAAGCCCTGAAGAGATCCGTGCACTGTCTAAAGAAGAGCTTCAGATGCCTGTTACCATGGGGGACTTTGACTTGGCTCTGAAGAAAATCTCTAAGTCTGTTTCAGCTGCAGACTTGGAGAAATATGAAAAGTGGATGTCAGAATTTGGATCTGCTTAACCTTGGGATGTCTCTTCCTAGTGGATTGTAACTTTCCCATTTTAGAATGTTAGGCATAGAAACCTTGAGTTTTACCTATGGACAAGATACCCCTTTTAAACTTTTAAATATTTTTTTTTGCACTTTAAAGGGAACAAAATAAAAATGTTACACAGTGAGATCATGGCGTTTCATGGATGACTACCAAAACCTGTAAATGTAGCAATGGAAACCCTCTGCATTTGTGGCTGCCTGCACTTTAACTGTAAATACCAGTGTCCTGATTTTCACATGCTAATCTTTCATGGTTTTTATCTTCCAACCAGACATGGGATTGTGCAGGAAAAAGCTACCAGCCTCCTTGTGATATATGCCTGTGGTCCCAGGACATATTGTATGTCTAGTTATAACTGGATTTCATACTGCTTGAATGTAAAGCACAAGTTTTTATTCTGCACTTCTGCCTCCATTAGGGAGCTCTTCAGTGTGATCTAAGATAAAAATACCAAGGTTCGCTTTACACTGCAGTCATGTTGCCATGGCTACACTGGTATTTGCTGGAACACAATTAAACACCATACTATAAAAGGGAGACTTGTGTATACACATGTACATTGCTGTGACCAGCTGCACCTCTTTGACACATTCTGTTGCCGAGTGTTTAGAAATTCATGTTTCCATCTTACACTTTATCTGTTTACTGCAGCCAGTGTGGGTTTAACATGGCCATCATAATTGCTGTGTAAAGTGTGAAGTGGTAGTGTAGACCTTTCCAAAAAAAGCAGGTAATGATGCAAAAAAATAAATAAATCTCAGGGCTGATTTTCCTCCCATCTCCATTTTATACTTGTGTTTAAATACATTGCTTTTATGGAATATAGTGCCATCTTGTCACTTGTCACTCCGTGTTAAGCAAGATGGAAGATTACCTTGCGGTCTTGTGACTAGCTAGAGGCCCACTTCATTCTGGAAGTTTCATTGGTTTCACTTGCCAGTGCTAAATTAAACCAGTGTACATCTTGTACTGGGAGTCCAGCTATCTTTTGCTTTAGACTACCTTTTTCTTTTATTATTTGCACCTGTGTTACAGTATGGGATACTGAAGTGTAGCACAATGGAACCTGAACTTGAAAGTTAGTACCCTGCCCTTGTTAGCCGCCCTGAGCCCACTGGGAAGGGCGGGATACAGATGTGAAAAATAAATAAATAAATAAAGCATCTAAGAATACTCTGTTCCCCATCACTTAGTATATCTAGAGCTCTCTGATCTTAGCAGTTTTCCCCTCAAGTATGATATTTCAGCAGAATCTTTCTAATATCAGGTGTATATGAAAAGATTGCCCTAATCACAATTGGGCCTTGACAGACATAATGCACAGTTGACTTCTTGAAGTGATTGTGTTTAGGTACATGTAGGTCTGGAACTGGTTATCCACATTATTTTTCTAGCGAAAAATGTACAAAACTGGTTATCCACATTACGTTTCTAGCGAAAAATCTACAATCAGATTTACTGGCGGGCCCTGTTCTTAGATTCAGCTCCAGAAAAACTGTGTGGATTGCCAAATCCAAGTTAACATTTCCACTAGAATAAATGGTCTAATCCCAGGAGTACCAGCAGTTAGGTTTACATGAGGTCTGTCTATCTTGTGAATGAATCGTTTGACTGACCAATAGTTTTTTCTTTCATTTTGGCAGCCTGCCACTTAAAATAATTTGTTTCAAAAGCTCTCATTTAGAGTACTTGCATGCAGGGGTTTTTTCAGTTATCTAGCATGCTGATTCAGCATTCTTGACCTCTGCAAGCCACACAAATTTTACTAGCCCAAGAAGTAGACCAAGGAGGACTAGCATGATCTGTGTGGATGATCCAGTCCCATAGTATGTGGGCAGTTACACAGATGGTGTTTGCAATTGTTTTGTCTTGGATTCTTTACTTGTTGCTATTTTATTTTATTTTTTACACAGGAGGCATCTTGGGTTGAGACTGTGAATAGTACATTGTGTTTCCAACAAATGGCAGCTGTACCTTGAAAGGATGAAATTAGAATAAATGTCCTAACAATGACTCATGTTTCTTTTATGTGGTACTCTTTGTTCTGCATAGAGGTTTTGGGATTCTGTTGTACTCCTGCAGTGGCTGAGTTGTATGTGATGCTCTGGAAGCATAAGAGTAGCACACCACCTCATGGAGTATTTTAGGTTTTTACACACACACACTATTCCTCTCACTGTTTAACTTTGTGAAACTAGTAGGCAATTGCTATGCAGTAGTCAAGGAATACCACAGTAGTCAAGGAATTCTATGATACCACTCTAATGGCAGAAAGTGAAGAGGACCTAAAGAGCCTCTTGCTAGGAGTAAAAGAGGAGAGTGCAAAGGTTGGCTTGAAACTCAACATAAAAAAAACTAAGATCATGGCATCCGGCCCCATCACTCCTTGGCAAATAGAAGGAGAAGTTGTGGAAGCAGTGACAGACTTCACGTTCCTGGGATCCAAGATCACTGCAGGTGGTAACTGCAGCCATGAAATTAAAAGACGCCTACTCCTTGGGAGGAAAGTGATGGCAAACCTTGACAGCATAATAAAAAGTAGAGACATCACCCTACCAACAAAAGTCCATATGGTCAAAGCAATGATATTCCCAGTAGTACTGTATGGTTGCGAGAGTTGGACTATAAGGAAGGCCAAGCGCCGAAGAATAGATTCTTTTGAATTATGGCGCTGGAGAAGACTCTTGAGAGTCCCCTGGACTGCAAGAAGATCAAATCAGTCAATCCTAAAAGAAATCAACCCTGACTGTTCCCTGGAAGGCCAGATAATGAAACTGAAGCTCAAATACTTTGGCCACCAAATGAGAAGGGAGCACTCACTGGAGAAGGCCCTTATGCTGGGAAGGATTGAAATTCAAAGAAGAAGGGGACGGCAAAGGGTGAGATGGTTAGACAGTGTCATAGATGCAACGAACATGAAATTAAGCAAATTCCGGAGCATGACGGAAGACAGGAAGGCCTGGCGTGATCTGGTCCATGGGGTCATGAAGAGTCGGACTCGACTGTGCGACTGAACAACAGTCAAGGAATGTAAAGACTCCCACTGCCTTTGAGCTCACTGCTGTTTTTTGGACAGAGTTGATAATCGTAGCAGCAGCAATTTCTATAATTTAGAAATCCAAAACTTCTCAAACAGGTAGCTCCTGCCCCAAGGAGCCTGCAACCTAAATCCAGCATGGGAGACTGGGATGGAAGGAGCAGGAAGTGGAATCTAACCATGCTTTGGCATTTGGAAGAGATGGTAAACAAGGAGCTTTGCCCAAAGTGGATGCTTCTCTGTTTTCCTTTTCTCTACTCCTTTCACTAATACAATAACAAAGTTACTGGAGAGCTGCAACCTGAGAATGTGTAACAACTACAAAGCAGTAGAAAAGCGTAAGAGTCCAGTAGCATCTTAAAGATTAACAAAGTAGAGTATGAGCTTTCGTGAGTCATTGCCCCAGATGGAATTTGTCAAAATGAACCAATGTTCCATTTATGGGAAGAGAATTTATCTTCTCTGGTTGTTCACCCCTGCTTGGGTCAGTCCTTCTCTTCCTGTTATTTGGCATCCCTGTGCCGATGTCTCCTCCCAGGTGTCACATTCTTCCCAGGTTGTGAGATGGCCCTTTGATTAGAGAAATTTGGATAGCAAGACCTTCAATAGTGGGTGCTTTGAGAGCCATTGCCATTAATGGGGGGGATGCTTGAGATCAACTGATCTCTCTCGTTTCCTGTCCTTTTACCGACAGAGAAACATCTTGGAATGAATGTGGGAGTTTGCAACCCAAAAACTCCCAATAGAGTGAAGTAGTCCAAACTGGAGGATATATGAGTTGTAATTTTTGTTCTACATTGTGAATAATATAGTGGAGTCATTCTTAAAATGTTGCCCTTCCAAAGACCGCTATTATAGTTTGTTTGTTCTTTGTGATATGTATGGCCCCAAAGAAGAAAGGTCCAAAACATCAGCTACTACTTTTGTCTTCCATAGCTGCAGTCCAACGAAGCAGGGGAAGAGTCATGTACCTAAGAGCAGTTGCTCAGAAGTTCCCTTTGCAAATCTTTCTGCGTCTACTTTCTAGTTTAAATTTCAGACTTAAAAGCAATGGGCTACTCTTCAACATGTGGCAAACCTTTAAAGAAACGTCCACCGCATCGCTGTTATCACTGTGATCTTGGATACCTCCCGAAAGTGTATCAGAGATCATTATTGGTGTTCAGAACGCAGTGTAACAATTTCTGTAAAATTCATAGTAGAATTGAAGGATAATTTGACAGTTAAGCATCTAAACTCCATGATGTCTGAGGCTGCCACTTTCAAAGGATGTTCAGAAGCAACAAACACCTTGTTTCTAGAAACATAATTATTGTTTATTGGGCGCTCATGACTTGGACCCCATGCTTCTGCTTGTAGATCTCTGTTGCAGAGTCTGTTCCACAGGAACTAGGTGCTTCCTGCTAATGCAATGCACTGATCTTACATAAGTAGGAACTGCCTACTGCCAGAGGAAAGTGCTCTGCAGTGGAGGAAAAGAAGAACACAAGTTCTAAGCCCGTGTTAATAATTTGTATAGCACTTTAATATTTAGAATATTTTTCAGACCTATTGTTCTCCTTCCAAAATTTAACTGTGAAAAATGGTGTAATGATTTCATCTTTTGGTGTGTGTGTTTCTTAAATGTTTAGTTTGACCGCAGTACTGTAAGAAGAATTGAAAAGTACGCAGACGGAGAGTGATTTCAGCAAAGCGTACTTTACTCGATCAGGAACAAGACAACTTTGGCTGGCTTGCAGGCCGGCTTATATTCCCCCAGAAACCGCCACCCAAAACACCCCGCCACTTCCCAATAGGTTATTTACAGTGGCCGAGAGTCTCATTGGCTTCTCAGCCAGGAACCTAGCCCCCTGATTGGAGCAGGCTAGGATCCGCATAGTCCATTGTCTCTTGGAGCGAAGCTCGATGGTTGTCCCTGGACATGCCTGGACTTGTCAGGACTTGATACACTACAAGAGTGATAGGGAGAGACAAGTGTGATGTGATTGGCTGATGACTGAGAGTGGGAGGAGGGGTGTCTAGGAGAGCGATTCTGTGTGTGAAGTCTGAAGAGAGAGCATAGTCTGTGTGACTATGGGAGATTCTGAGTCTATTCTGTGTGAAAAAGACAAACAGTTTAGTCTGTGTGAATATGAGTTTTGAGTCTATTCTGTGTGAATAAGACAAAGAGTTCAGCCTGTGTGGCTATGTATATGAAAGAGAGAGGGAGATCAGACTGTGTCTATGCCTGTCAGAGTGGAGTTTTGGGAGTTTGAGAGACTGTTTGTGACACCAAGCTTTGCCAGTTATATTTACAAGTTCCTTTCATCAGCAACAGTTCAAAATAACCAGAAACCTATTTTGTTCTTTATTAAATAAATCATTTTTTTGTTTAACCTTATCCCAGAAATCAGAATAGTCCTTCCTCAGGGCCACATAGTCCTCTGAAGTGCCCAGACCCTAGGTCATTCTACCAAAAGAGAGAGATCTGGAATTTTTAATTCCTGGTGGCAGCAGAAATCTACCAAGTTTAGGTACACAGAGGGTATTTTAAAGGTAAAACCGTCTCCCCTATAAGCTTTTCTGCTCAATCTTGTAAAATTTCCCTCCATGCCGCAGCCCCTGTCTGCATGGCTTTTGTCTATGTGGGACCCACAATCCCTGGCATCAACTTTTCAGCAATTAAAAAGACCTCCTCCTCCCCCCACCTTCCACCAGAAGGAAAGCTGGTGTGATCCAACCCGATGACTTTTTCAAAGCTACCTAGTGAGTGAAGTGTTAAAGACTATTAACATTTTTGTGGCTGTCAAAAAACAGAATTTGTGACGCTTCCCTGGCAAATAAAAAAGTACCCATGAATAAAGATCAGTAAAGTGTCTTAATTAGAGGAAGTCAGAGCTGATATTTCTTCACTTTTTGCTTATCTAAGTGAATAGGCCAATGTGTTCATTCATGATATTATTTGAAATGACTGTGCTTTTCTTCTCATACCTATTAGTTCGAAAGAGACGTGTCACTTTGCTTAGTTGAAGGTGGCTGCATTGTCTGTGGCACAGTTTATAACTGAAGAGATGATTGCATGTAAGATCTTAATGAAGTCATTGCAGAGGTGAAGGTGAGAGGAAATGAGCGGAACACCAAATGGGATGCATGTAACAGAAACCATAGCAACTCATGAAAGGTTTATAAATATAACAAAAGTGAAGTGAATAAACGAAAGGACTTGCTGACAACAATCTGCATGCGATCTGTGTAGAGAACAATAGTGCAGTGCGTACATGGGTGCCAGCTAGAGAATGCTGGGTTACAAAATGGTGTACAAAATGGTATATCAGCTATAGAGAGCTAAAAGAAAAGATCCACGGCTATGATCTGTAAGGTCTCTTAGTGATTTGGATTTGCCAGCTATAAATATAAGTTATCTGCTCATACCTGACATTATAATTCATTTTCAGCTAATGTCACAAT